GTTTGATTCAAATTTATGACTATTTGATCAAATCAAGAAGACACTCGAAAAGAACTGATGATGCCAAGAGAAAGAAAGAAAAATAATCTTCTCGATCCAACAAAATCACAATTGAGGTATGATAGAAAATCTTTATCAGGTCGATCCCCGTTGCGCAGCAACAAACACTAGTCGGGACGGCAAATCATTCTCAAAACAAAAAATAAATATATGTAAAATGATGAAAAATATCTAACAGTAATCATGTCAGACACACGGGATCGGATTCTCTCGAGTTACTTTTGAGTTGTAGATCATACCTTGGAAGATTACAACGTTGAGGTTGCCACCGCCACTTTTGGTAATCCAATTCTTGTCTACCACTTTGTTGGCAGCGGAATCCGGGGTCCAAAAAGGGGCAATTCTCTGTGTATTTTCGAATTGGTCGAGTTTCATCCCATACCCACTTTCCATAAGAGTAATCACAATAACTTTTCAATGTAGAGTTTGAAGTAGTTTTGGGAAGGATTAACTGGGACAAGAAACCAATACCGATAACAGACCTTTGATTCAATGGGCTGAGGATGCTATAGCAAACATAAGTTATGAGAATTAAAGGGAGAAATAAAAGTAAATGGGAGTATTCTTTCTTGAATGGAATACAGAAGAGCTGTAGTTTTTGTTGCATGGAGGGCAAATTAATTAAATCCACAAGAAGACGAAGAAGAAAAGGGATCTTTAGGTTGAAGTCTCTTGAGTATGTTTATGGCTGTAATTTGATTCAAGAAAGTGATTAAGCAAAGTTTCCGGAGGAGAGGGGAATTAATTGCCATTGACATATGGGCACGTATCTTATCACATTACCACATTTATCGTGCGGTTTTGCATGTTTAGTTACTTGTCACCTGTCTTAGTCTGGGATTAAAAATCCCAACGACGATTTTGCTTTTGACATTGTTTTTCAACTGTCTTGAAACTTTACAGTTTCTCATCATACTTTCAATGTTGTTTTCCATCTGTCACGCATGATGTTCGTTCATTAACGATTTTGATGTTGTGGTAAACAAAATTATGAAGTTTTTCAAATTACAATAATTGTTGGGAAATAACTTTGAAATTGTAAACATTTTGTCTTATATTAAAAGATCAACCCCATTAAGAATAGTAGTCCAAATTTTTATAAGTTGGTATATGCTTTTATCATTGTTCAATCTGAGATTTATCCCTTAACATGTTCTTGCAAGATAGTGGATAATTTTAACAAATCAATTTGAAATTTGCTTGCTCATTTTTTGAGTTTTGATAAGAACGAATTGCTCGTTGGAGTTTAATGATACTTGTTATTATGTTAAAGAATTATATTCCATCTTAAATGGTCAACCATTTTATTAAGAGTAGTTCAAATTCTTATGCGTTGGTCCATATTTTTTCTTTATTCGATGTGGGACTTATCTCTTAAAACTTGGATCATTCTTTGTGGAAGATACAATTTGTTTCAACTTCATTTATTCATGATGAAATGCTAATATGCAGTTAGTTACCCATGGAAGTTGTGTGATTTCTTGAAACAAAAACAAAGTTTAGTACAAACAACATCAGACAGCCATTACAAAACTTCTTAGAATGGACCTGGGCTTATATAAATCACAAAACTTGGGCTGGCCTGGCCCATGGATGGACTGTCCTGGGCCCAATAAAGGATTAATGGGTACTTACTGTGAAGCCAATGCTGGCATATGTCCTCCCACTTGCAGAAGCACTAAGCATAAGTCTTTTCTCAATCTTTCTTGGTCCCATCCACGTAATAACCTGAAATTCTGAGTGACCATTCAGACAAATACTGTTTCTCTTTTGTTGGTTTAGTCCACAGGCCACTTGTGTCAAATTCTACTCTTGCAACATGTGATTCACAATTATAAAGCATGTAGCCGTTAATTAATAGTGCGTACTAAAAATATACTCGATCTTACTTTGTTGTTTATAAAAAATGAATCAATTTCGTTTTATATTTCATCATCCTGGCCGATCATACCTGGGATCGCAAATCTCAAGTCTGTGTGTGTAATTCTTAATAAGAATGTCCTCGATCTTACTTCGTTGCTTGATAAATTGAAATGGATGTCAACTCCCAATATGTATGTCTATACATTTACGAGGCTAGTGAATCACTAGCAAGAACCAATGATCGAGATGGTTCATTTAGTCTCCAAAAACGAGTAATAAGGTTCAAGTTTGATTTGGAGTGGACCTTAATTGTACTACTCGTTAGTCATTTTCATGTGATTCTATTCGTTTTCTATCTTCATTTTTCTATATGGTACATTTTCATGGCATGTTTCGCTTTCAAATATGTGGACGAAAACTGCATTTTTCATTTCTCATTACATAAATACTTGAGAAAAATCTAGAGGCAGAATCTCAGCAGTACAAATTCCAACATGTTAGTGCAAAATCAAATTCTTGATCCATCCGGGGGTACCTGATTACGTCAGCAGTGATATCTTGTGGGACCCATCTCCACTTTCCAATCCCTGAAGAAGTCACTTTCAAATTAATCGAGCTTCCTTCGAATGATAGATACACCACTTTTTCTCTCGCCAGAAAATCTGGGATTTCCTTAATTTTTTAAAAACAATTCTTTTCTTTTTCTTTTTTTTTTTAATTCTCTTTTTTGCACCTTGGGAATCAGCCAATCCGGGAAGTCACATCCACAGATCTCACACGTGGCGACATCTCATTGGTTGACATCTCCAGAGAAATTTATATCCTGTTGCAACCAAACAGTATAAAACTTATGAATGACCATTTTAGTATTTTAACATGTAATCCTAACATTTCATGACTCCATGTCACTGAATATTTAAAGAAACATGCCTGATCTCCTAATCTTCTGTGAGCAAATAGTTGATCGTCGATGTAGCAGAAAACCTTAATTATGGTTCTCTTGTCACATTCTAGTGGAAAGTTTTCATCAAAAACAGAAGATAAATTTCAATTTAAGAAATTTTATGATTTAATAAATTATTTATTCAAATATATATATATATAAGTTATAGAGATCCACCTAGAAAAGCAAGGTAATATTGAGTATATCCCAAGTGCTCAAACTCAAGTATTACAAGAATCTTTAATTATAATTATATTTGAACTTTAGACCCTATTTGGTTGGAATCAAATATTTTAATCTACTAAAAAAAATTGCCACCAAACAATGCTAAACATACACGGAAGTAAGGATGATAGAATAAGAATAAATTCGATAAATATGATCACAAGGAGTATGGTTATGTCATATATAGTTATTAAACTTTAACGACGTCCCTGAAAAAAACATTGTTCACCCCTTCTCGAATAAGTTATTTTCTTTTACACATGTTCTTGTTTGGAAAAACTTAAAAAGTAGCTAAAAATTGATATCAAAGTCAAATTATTTTAATCACACATTTTATAACTTTTATAAAAATTTATTAAAACTTATTAACAAAGACTTTGTCGAACAACTCCGTGGTCTCCTAAATTGTCTTTTATTGATTATCATATTTTCATGGTTCTACACAAAGAAGATTACTTGTTCAACTTGGTCACCCATGCACGAGAATCTTCAATGGACAACTTCTGGTTTAACTAATATACAACTAATTGTTAGGCACATGATTTAATCCGAGACTACTCTAGACATAACTATATTTTAGTATATTTATTTTATTATAATATAATGCAGTACTATGGGTTGTATATCTGTTTCATTATGGGGAACACTAAAATCAAACTAGGAAATTGTAGCAGTCACACCTTTAACCTATTTTTAGTCTAAAGTTAATAAAAGATTTGACGTACCATGTGACTGTTAAACCTATGATAATTGGAGTAATTATACTGATGATATTGGTAGTTGGGGGCTTGACCCTGGCTCGAAATTGATGAACCCTCATCTGGTGTGGATGGCTCAGACTCACACTCCAAATTCACCCCAAACAACCTTAATTTTCTCGAGTTCCCACTTGGTTTTGTTTGGTTCTTAATTGCTGACCCTGCAATAAATTTAACATAGGAAGTAAAATCTTTTTTATTGTTCCAATAATCTGGAAAACATAAAAAGAAAATAGGGTTTGCGAAGTGCAAACAGCAAAATTACCTGCATGAAGATAGTCAGGTAGGTGTGGGGGTGAAGATCCTTGAGGGTGTGATGGATAAGGATATCCAGAGTACAATGATCTGGTCAACCCACCACCAGCCACCGTAGGTGGCAGAGAAACACCACTATCTTGCCCTGCGCCGCCGTTTCTCCGCCTCCAACCGATGAAAGTTCTGCCAAAGTCAGTCCGGTGGCGCTGGAAATGAACAATATCGCCTGCATTAAGTCTTTTTTCCTTAACGAAACGGCTCCACCCTTTCGTGAGTACATAACTTTGACTACTGTTCCAATAAGAATAACGAAATCTCCATAATTTTCCAAGCTCGTCCTCGAAGCCTAGCAGCAACCCTTTTTCTCCCGAATCGCCACCCTTTAAGGGAAAGTATTTTTCTGCTTGTTGTTTGGGGATAACAAGACGGTTCAGCTTGCCCACATCGCTTGGCGTCAATGATTTTTCGAACAAGGGTTCTTTAGACATTTCTTGTTCATGGTATAATTGGCCTTCCTTTTCTTGCTCTTCGAGTTCTTCGTCATCTTCTTTGGTTAGTTTGAAGCTGAAATTAGCAGTGTTCTGGTTGCAAAACATGGTGTTTTCTGGATACAATTGAGGCTGAAACATGAAGTTTTTGTGCTTTGAATATGAAACTTTTGCAGGCAATTCCATTATGTGGTGGTGGTGGTTTTGTGTCCACTAGAGTGCTGCTGGAAAATCTGAAGAGAAATGGTTCATTGGCGTTATGGATGTAAAAACTGGTCTTATGATATGAACTTGTGGGGGGCCTATTCAATAGAAATGTCAAATGTGGGTTTGGGAGTAGGGGTAGGTTAGGGTAGGCAGTATAAGTAAGTAGTTTTAAGGTTTTGCGTGATAGAAAAATTCAATCATTATATTCAGTGCCAAATACGATGTGAAAATTTGGTAATAGGGCCTGCAAAAGAATTGAAAAATAGTATTACTGAATTGGACAGAACATGTATATTGATGAATCTTGAGAAGAAAAGAGATTGTAGAGGTGAATCATTCTATCTTAGAAACACTCCCCATGTTACCATGTTACTATGTTGGCTGACTCACTACCCATCCAACACTTGGTTTTCAGTGAATTACTGTGACATATATATCAATATGAATTATGTTCAATGCACAGCTTTATTGATATTCAATAAAGTGTAAAAATTGTGCAATTGATTGTTTTGAGTATTGTTAAAATTAATGATAAAATTATTGGCCACTTCGCAAAAGTCCTTAACTAAACTGTACTTATAGAAAAATTTATATCGATATAGCTAAGTCATGTTTGTCAAGGACCACTGAGTTCAACATTTAGTCCATTATTTTGTTAAAAATTAGATTTTTAATATATTATAATAAAATTTAATGAAATATGTGGTTAAAAGCTTATAAAAATTGTGGGTTATATATATAGTTAAAATTAATTGTGACTTTAACTTAAATTTTTATGAACTATTTTAACTAGATCAAATAACCAGGGACTTAATAGAGAGAGACTATTTTTGTATGTATTCCTTTATTGCACTGCCTACCGCCTAGGCTTGAAAAAGGGTGATAAATGTAGCTGCCTACAGGTTAAAAAGGCCCGCACCTTTTTGTTTGACAAGCTATATTTCCTCATTTGCAGTCCACCCTAACAAAAAACTCAATCATAGCTAAAATTTGGAAAGGTTTATCAGTACAAAACGTACTTACATTTGATTTTTAGTGAGCAAAATATTTTTACGTTTCAATGTTTTGTATTTTCACCCCTATTTCCATGTTTAATTGTGGAAACCATCATTTTCCTCAGTTTTTATCTAATTTCTTAATTAAAAATTGTAAAATAAAAAATATACCCTTATATTTAAATAAAATAAAAAGCAAAAAAAAGAACAAATTGCAATCATACTCCCATTTTTGAAAAAAAGTACAAATAAATCCCAAATATATTAAATTAAAAAACCAAAAAAGAAAAGAAAAATCTTCATCTTGTAATTTCCTCTCCCTCTCCCTCTCCTACCCAGTGCCATCCCCACCCTACTCCTTACCCTCATCATGAAACGAAACTAGGAAATAGTTTGGGAAATACAAGAGGATGTAGAAATACTAAAAATCAATCTCTTATATTTCTTACTAGAGGATGTAGAAATGCTTATATCAGTTTTATGATTAAACAAAAGAGGGCTTTTCTTTTCATTATTGTCAATGTCGTTGTTCTTGACTTCCACAGGCATTCTTGAATGGGGACAACTTTTCTACAAGTGGCACTCATAGTACTTGTGATAGGGCGCTACATCTCTTGAGAACCTCCATTTCTTTCCATCCATTCACTTGCACCTTTCTAGATGACCAGTCACTGCACTTGAATACCAATACCAAGATACATCTTTTTAAATCAACATCTAATCGAGTACCAAAAGTGTAAAAATAACAAATCATCGAAGAAAAATAAGAACCGATTTATAGAAAATTGAAGGTCTTGGTGGTACAGGAAAGAGAGGATCAACAGGCACACGGGTGAAAATTGCAAAAATTTGAAATGCAGGGTACCTTTGCACACTAAAGGCCAAATGTAGGGATGTTTTGTGCTAATAAACCCTATAGATCATGGCTTGTCTTTCAAGCTCCTTCCTTTGAGTAGATGTAAGAGGATACTCCTTATTTGCAGACAATTCATTCCCACTTGGGCTCACACAAATAGCAAAATCAATAAAATTCTGCCTCGATGAATGGAATAGAGATGTTGACATTGAACATTAAATATGTATTAGCCAATTTAGGTTGGACAGTAAATAATGTGACAGCAATATAATTGATGTTTGTAAACTCATAGTGAATTACAGGAAACAGTCTGATATCTGATAAAATAAAATAAAAAATCCATGGGTTCCTTCACTTCCCAATAAGCAAAGAGATGGGATAATATTTATATATACATACAATAAGAATTGCAGACTGCCCTTTTTCTTGCACTGCATTCGTGTTTCAATTTTCTCCTTAGAAATTTCTTGATATTTTATAATTTTGTGATTTGTTTAGATATATCTAGCTACGCGTTTGTTGTAGGATATAGACAAAACGCCTGACATCGACTTTCAAGTACATTACATACATACATATATTAAGTAATTAATTGATTAAGAAACTCCATCTCTTCTTGGACCATACATACTCAACGTTGGACCAGTAGTTATCTAAGTACATGAAGAAAAGGCATATGAATGATTGAGGTTGTTAGGCATTGTTAGGCATGTTTAAAACTAATCTGTATGTTGAGTTATGCTACATTTACAAAATTGGTTGATAAAGTAATACTTATGCCAATCATTTCAAAAACAAATTTTTAAATAATTTGAAATCAATTGTTTGGATTGTGCCAACACTTATTTGTCAACCAAATTTGTAAACATGCTTTGTACAAATAGCATGATACCTGTATGTTTTATTTAAAGGGAGAATGAAAAAGTTACTCGAAAGAAAGATGAAACGAGTGATGATGTGTTATAATATTCTAGAAAATTGTGTATAAAAAATATTATAGAGAGAAGGTTAAGAAAATGTGAGAGAGGGTTAAGAAAATGTAAAGAGAGGACATAAAAGAATTGTATAAGACAGATGACAGTTTATGCTTATGTTACATAAAAACAAGAATAGGTAAAAGAAAGATAAGAACAAGAGCAAACAAATTTACATGAAAACTCTATATGCGAAAAAGCTGCGGACAAAAGAGAAAATTCACTATATCAAAGATAAGTACAAGAGATGAGTTTTTTAACGATTACCCTGATAATACCATGAAATCCTAAAATATATGCGTGTGTGTGGCGTGAACCCAATCCCTCTTCTAACACTACAAACCTAAAAATTTTCTCATAATTTTAATTTCCCAATATATGTCGAATCACGAGCTTTCAGACCGAGCCAAATAGAATTTGGTTTTTCGTACTTCGATAATTTAAATTGATATATCATTTATGACTTCACTTGACGAAAAAAAGAGTACAAATGCATATTGATAATTTTTTGTTTTCATTTTGATAAATTCTTTAAGTATGCAATGATTATAGAAGGTTGAGAAGTGACAACTAGGGCCCTTTAAACCACGAGCTCGGCTCAGGCTCGTGGCGAGCCGAGCTCGAGCTCGTGTCTTTTTAATTTTTAAAAAAAAAAAATTTTGCACCTTTTTTTAAAAAAATTCAATTTTTTGGATGAGGTCAAAACGCCTCGTGGGCTCGAAGAGCCAAGCAGGCTCGGCTCATAGGATCGAGCCCCCTACTACGAGCTCGAGCCACCCATGTTGACATCCCTAGTGACAACTAATTAGAGAAAATAAAAATATCGTGATGAAATTAATTGATATAAATAAAAAAAATAGAATATTTTCTAAATATGATATGGAGTTCATCATTTCTCCAAATGAAATGAGTTTTCCTCTTGAACAACGCCCTTTCCAGACAGGGGAAGATGTGGGGAATTGATGAAGCGAGTTTTTCCTTTTAGACAATGCCATTTCATTTGGGGAATTGATGAACTCCTTATCATATGTGGAAAGGAGCGGGGCCCAAAATGAAATAGGAGACCAATATGTGAGGCTTTCTTACTCAAGAATCAAGATTCCGTATTAATTACAAATTTACAATATGTCATTCAGTCAAAATAAAAATTTCCTAACAAAATTCAGGTTAGCTGTCACTAATAATTGACTAAAATAATCCACTTGGTGTTAATGTGTGTTCAGATTGTAGCGTTGCAATGTAGTGTTCAAATATTAGCCAAGAACAATGGACCACCGTCCAAATATTCATTCGTATCTCCCTTTCTTTGAATAATATTATAAAGTTCTTAGAATAATGTAGAGAGAAGTAGTTAGTTGGAGGAAAAATAAACATATTCATAAAATTAATCAGCTTTTAATTGATCAAATATTAGTTTTAATTACATTTTACGCGATCCGCATCTTTCATTCATTGACTTTTCAACTTCATACTATATCAATTTTTATTAATATCTGTTAAAATCTTCTTTTTCAAAAATGTTGTCAAACAATCTCTTAAGATTGTATTATATGAAAACAAAAAGCCACGTCACAAAAACAATCTCTTAATGATGACCACTCTCCACCGTCAGAGCCAAAATCAAATCCAACCCAATTCACAGTACAAAACCAAAATCGAATCCACCCTCTGCAAATATGTTTATTTTCTGGATAAATTATGCTCCATTGATGTTAGATATGAAGGAGAAAGAATAGTAGAATATGAATATCACATATACTGTGGTTAAATCCGCTACTCTATGTCAATCATTTTGTCTTTTTGAGATTTTTCTTGAAAAATCTTTGATTTTCTATTATTTTTGTTGAGATTTTTCAAGGAAAATTGGGGGTAAGGTACTCTTCATTTGGATTGTATTTGATGAAACGAGAGATAAATGAAGAGGGAAAATGAGTAATATTGTGGTTTGAGACCAAAGGTTGGAGGATTGAGTGACACTATGAAAGTTGCCTCAACATTATGTAGGGGTGGGGATGGGTGCATTGAAAAAGAAGAAGTATTTGGCGTGGGTGGTGGAACGAGGTAATGGGTTACGTTTTCCTCTTTTTTTTTTTTTTTTTTTAATTGCTTGTTGAGTTTTAATTATTAATATTTGATTGACGAAAGTATCTCCGATTTAAAATGGTCAAAATACCTCATTTTTAATTTTACAGGTCAACTTATGGTGTTTTGAACTGTTTCCGTCCAGATGTACCTTGACTGCATATTGTCAAAGGTTAGGGATCTTCGTTGATACAAAATGAAGGTTATGGTAAAATTTGCAGAAATTGAAAAGATTAGGAACCTCTGCTGCAATTATCTCATTATTTAATATTATTTAGCTTTAATAGCTAACATGTGTCACAAAAATAACTTAATGATCAAGTTGAAATTTCACTTTAACTTCTACAACATTTATGTAATCAATTCTACTAAAGAGTATATTACAATAATCATTCCTCAAATTATTGTCTCGCGCAAGCTCCCTTGGAGACTTGAGAACCTTCCCGGTTTTCCATGGCCAAACAATGTGCACGATGGCTTCC